GTGAAATAGGTTAGCGCTTGCACTTTAAATTATTCCAATTTTAAAACAAATCTGGAAAAGTTGTAAACTTGAAATTTTGCAGCCTGAAATTTCAGGGAAAGATTTACTTGATTGTCCCTTTTGTTTTCTAGTCATGAAATACATCAAGGGTATTGCTAAAGTTTTCAATGTTCTACATCTTGTAGGTAGTCCTAAATTCAGCCTAGCTACTTGAAGTCATCAGGCATCACTACTCTTCCTTAGGCACTCCAGCACAGAACTGTCAGGCTTGCATTTTATTTCATAACATCATAGCATGGTTTGAGTTGGAAGGGACCTTTAAAGATCATCTAGTCCCACCCCCCTGCCATGAGCAGGGACATCTATGTTGCTCAAAGCCCCATCCAACCTGACCTTGAACACTTCCAGGGATGGGGCATCTACCACCTCTCTGGGCAACCTGTTCCAGTGTCTCATCACCATTCAGAAAAGAATTTCTTCCTTATATCTAATCTAAAGCTGCCCTCTCTTAGTTTAAAACTAACCCCTTGTCCTGTCACTACAGGCCTTGGTAAAAAGTGTCCATCTTTCTTATAAGCCCCCTTTAGGTATTGAAAGGCCATGATAAGGTCTCCCCAGAGCCTTCTCTTCTCCAGGCTGAACAACCCCAACTCTCTCAGCCTTTCTTCGTAGGAGAGGTGTTCCATCCCTCAGATCATTTTTGTGGCCCTCCTCTGGACCTGCTCCAACAGGTCTGTGTCTTGTGCTGGGGACCCCAGAGCTGGATGCAGTGCTCCAGGTGGGGTCTCGAGAGCAGAGTAGAGGGGGAGAATCACTTCCCTTGACCTGCTGGCCACGCTTCCTTTTATGCAGTCCAGGACATGACTGGCTTTCTGGGCTGCAAGCGCATGTTGCCAGCTTGTGTCCAATTTTTCATCCACCAGTATCCCCAAGTCCTCGGCAGGGCTGCTCTCAATCCATTTATCCCCCAGACCGTGTTGATGCTGGGGATTGCTTTGACCCAAGCGCAGGACCTTGCACTTGGCCTTGCTGAACTTCACGAGGTTCGTGTGGGCCCACTCCTCATGCCTGTCAAGGTCCCTCTGGGTGGCATCCTTTCCCTCTAGTGTATAGACTTGCACCACTCAGCTTGGTGTCATCTGCAAACTTGCTGAGGGTGCACTTGATCCCACTGTCTGTATCATTGATGAAGACACTAAATAGTATTGGTCCCAGCACGGACCCTTGAGGGACACCACTTGTTACTGGTTTCCACTTGGACATTGAGCCGTTGACTGTAACTCTTTGGACGTGACCATCCAGCCAATTCCTTAGGCATCTAATAGTCCATCCATCAAATCTATTTCTCTCCGATTTAGAGGTAAGAATGTTGGGGGGGACCATATTGAAGGCCTTACAGAAGTCCAGGTAGGTGACATCAGTTGTTCTTCCCTTGTCCACTGATGCAATCACTCCATCGTAGAAGGCCACTAGATTAGTCAGGCGATTAAAAGTTAAACTCCTCAGGTCAAGGACTGAGTTATGAATGTGTTTGCTATTACCTTTGACTCTTTGCTTGTTTTAAAAAAGAAAAAATAAGGGCTTGCATTGGTTTAAATAGGCAGTTGATGCCTCCACCAGCTTTTCCTGTCACTGGGATGAAATCGGAATCTGAAGAAAGAAATGGTGCGGGGTCTTTACCAGGCAACCATGGTGAGTGCGATGAATAAAATACACTCGTAACTCAAGTTTCCTTTCCCAAATGTGTTTGTGCTGGTCTTAACACTCTTTAAATCGGTGATTTTTTTGGCTGTTCTTTACACCGCATTGTTTAAGTGAAAAGCAGGTCGTATTGCACTGCTCTAAAATCACTTACGTTCGCTGTGATTATACACACATGATAACTTCTCTTAAAACTTTAATATCTGTATAAATGAGGAGAGTGTAATTAGTGAAGGACCAAAGACAGGTATTTTTGACCCATCAGTCAGCTGAGGCACAGAATGTCATGGGATTGTTTTGTAACAGATATGTGGCTTTACGTTGTGAACAGCTTATCTCTAGAGGCACTAAGGAGTATCAGTGGGAGTTATGGTTCAGGTGTGTATTTACAGACATGAGTTACGTCTACCTTGTCTGCAAACAACAGAAGTGCTGTCAGATTTCATCCTTTTGTAGGGCTTTCATACATCGAATATTTGCAACTTGGTAAAACATGTAATCATTTTAACTCTCCTGGTAGTTTAGTGCCTTTCAGGTCTGCAGGTACATCTGTTAGTCTGTTTAACCTTAGTTTTTCTGCAGTATTGGTCCCAGAGATTGCTCTTCTGTTAGCTTTCTTTTGAACAAAATTTCTACTTTTCTTTACATATTTGTCTCATTAACAGTGAAATTGGCATCACTTAGACCCATTTGCTAACTTTACCTTTTTTGTGTGTTTCTTTCTTCTTTCTCTGTTCTCTTACATGGTTCTGATGGATCACATGTGCTGTTGCTGGTGCTGTTTCGTGTGGCCTTCGACCTTGGATGACCATTGGCCTTGTGACCTCAAAATGGTGTCCAACTAACAATTTACAATTAACATCTTTTTTTATTAACTTGTTTTTGGGCATTTTATTTCTCTTTTTTTTTTTTCTTCCTTTTTGGGGGCTGGGGGGATTGTTTTGTTTTCACCTCCTAGATCATCAGGCTAAGAAGATGAAAACTGCAGAAAAGGGCTTTGGATTAGTAGCATATGCTGGAGATTCATCCGATGAAGAGGAGGAACATGGTGGCCATAAAAACGCAAGTACTTTTTCACAGGGATGGAGTTTGGGATACCAGTACCCTTCCTCACAACAGCGAGCTAAACAACAGATGCCATTTTGGATGGCACCATAAAAGCTGCAGAAGAGTTTTCGTTCATCTTTTTTTTTTTTTTCCCCTCTAGCAATAATGCATGTATATTACAAAATGAACTTTGCAAATAGGCATTGTTTTTACATTTGCAGAAGCTAAAGGTTCAGTATTCCCCCTTGAAAAGGGCTCCATTATTTTTAAAATCCTTCTTTCTGCAGTGAATTTGTCAATTAAAATATTTGAAATAGTATTCTGACAGGGCTAGTCCCTTATACAATGGGGGAAGTACTGTGAAGAGAAACTAGGGAAGCCTGTCGGTCCACGTTTCCAGTTTTTCCAGGATAACTTAAAAATGGAAAGAGTCAGTCACGCTGACTTCATTCTACACCTGGTGTTCCTATTTTATTGACTGTTCCTGCTGTCAGCCTGTGTTAGCAGTCCTGTTGAGCTAATGGTGACCCCGGCCTCAATGTTCGGACTTCCAACAAAGGAAAGGAATATACAGTGGTTCTGAAAGACTTGAGGATCGCATTTCCTAGAACTTGTAATTTGTTTTTATTTTAAGCATCTCCTGTAACTCAGCACTGTTTTTTCTTGAAAATGTGGTTTTACTAACCCCACAACTTCTTGTTCTAGCCAAGGGTGGGCGGGGGGGGGGGTGGCGGTAATGCTCAGGTTTTTTGGATGGGTTCATCTTGCCGCTAATCCCCAGGTGGACTTGGCGCTGTAGCACTGGTACTTAATCTTCTCCAGTCACCCCTGTGCATTTCGTTCCCATTCAGCAGTTCGGATGGAACTCCTTCTCGTGAGGCTCGCCCCCGTCTCCTAACTCGTTCACTTACTTGATTCTACCCTTTCTGTTTCATGGTGGTTTAACAAAGAAAAGGCAGGCAGCAGCCGGCTCCGCGGTGCGCCGGGACCCCAGCGCGGGCCTTGCTCTTGCCTTGGAGCGCGGAGGTGGAACCTGGGAATAAGTTGTTGGATTGTTTACGGGTGTGAACTGCGACACGGGCTGTCTTGGCGGGGCGGGCTGTTGCAGAAGGAACTCTTTTGTATGGAGGTCAGCGGCATGTGGGACTGCGAGGACGTGCCGCTCAGCTTTCCAAACAGGAGGAATAGCTTTAAAAAGGGGGACGTGTGTCGCTGCTGCACACTGAAAGACCTTGCTGGCTCACTTGTACAAACATTGTCTTTGCTACGTGTTGTAAATAATCAGAACCGTACTTTCAGTATAAATAAATGTACAAACATTCTGCTTCTCGCTGCTTTTTTGGGCGCGGGTTGACCGGGGGGCAGCCAGACCCTGCCGGGCCGTTCGCCGGGAGCCCCTGGACCGA